CCCTCTACCATACCCTTACTCCATATAATTTTTAACATTAGTAATCTTTGCGCTGACTATGGGTCTAGCATATCATCCAATATCACAGAATATTCTTGATGACATACAGAATATTCTTGTTAATTCAAGGCTACCTCATAATGAACTTAAAGTATGCCAGAGTATAGATTTTAGCTACAAGTAATAAGCGAGTTATTAAACAATCTTTCATCCCGGAACTTTATGAGGATTCTTATAATAAAATACTGAATCGGTATATTCAGACTTTGTTTGATAAAGTATTTTTGAGCCACTTTTTATAATAACAACAAATATTTAACAAAAAACATACAATATAATATTATATTACTAAATATAACATTTTGCAATTTTATCATTTATGAAAAACAAAATAATATGTTTTTCCATAAAAACAAACTGATTATGTGATTAAAAACAAATTGCGAGCAAATATTTTGTCACTTAATTTTATCTATTTATCTACATTTAGAAATTTTATTTACATTAACATTAGCATTACCTAGCACACATATCGGCGCAAAAATATTCACTCTTATCTACATTTAATCCCTTTATTTACATACCTGTTGTAATCCCTTTTCTGGTTTCATAAACAACATCATGTGATTAAAGCATGTGATTTGAAAGCATGGAATTTTCTGCATTAAATGTTGAATGTATTAATGACTAGATAAGTTTTATCACTGAATAAATGAACTAAATAGCTAAATGTTGAACAAAATTAACTAAATAGTGAACTAAATTAACTAAATTCTGAAATAAATTAACTAACTTAGTTAATTTGGTTAAGAATTTAGTTAACTTAGTTCACTATTTAGTTAATTTGGTTAAGAATTTAGTTAATTTAATTCAATATTTAGTTAATTTTGTTCAACATTTAGCTATTTAGTTCATTTATTCAGTGATAAAACTTATCTAGTATCACATCATTAATACATTCAACATTTACTGCAGAAAATTCCATGCTTTAATCACATGATGTTGTTTATGAAACCTGAAAAGGGATTACACCAGGTATGTAAATAAAGGGATTAAATGTAGATAAGAGTGAATATTTTTGCGCTGATATGTGTGCTAGAGCATTACTATTAAAATAGTGCAATTAATTAAATTATTTAATAAAATTGCTTTGACATATAAATTATAAATATTAAAGGAAGTACTGTCTAAGAATAATTTAATAATTTAATGCAAGATAAATATGTCAATAGAACTACCATTAATCCACAATCAGCAAGATGCAATTATTCAAAAAATTTTATGCAAATTATAAATATTATTTTATAACAAATTATCATAATAAAATTCATATAAAACTTTTTTATTTACTATATATTTTAATAATGTACATTTACGATTAGAATATAATATTTCTATACCATTTTATTACAATTATTATAAATTAAAATTAATCTTGCTTACTTATGGTTATCGTTATCTTAATTAATATAACGTTTAACAAAATTAAATGTCATTAAATATTGTTGCAAAATATGCCGAAAATGTTGGCTACACCCAAAATACACCATTGGATATAAATTTAACGTTAGGGCAAATATAAATACAATAACAACCATGATGGTATTATTGTAATTTATGCATGGATTTATTGTGGTTAATGAAGTTGATGAAAAATATAAGTAAGCAGCATTTACATTAATAGAGTGAAACGTTGAATATGCAACCACAAACATGATTAATAATGCCGCTAATCTTGATATTATACCTTTATCCAAATTAGATTTATTTTGTAAAGTGTTCCGGGTAAATTTAATAATTATAACCGTGGTAAATGCAAATACTAAAACTATAGGTATTACACATTGTAGCATTATATAAATGAGGTAGAATATTACCATAAATACCCATTTACTAAACATGTCATAAAAATAATCTTTATAATACATACAATCAACAGTCGAGTCGAAACTATTAACTGAAAACATAAGATTATGAGCCAGGTATGGTATGGATAATATAATACTCGTAATCCATATGCCATACAATAACTTTTTAGTGGACAGTCTGTTCAGTGGATTATTAGAGGGAAATACTTGTGTTAATGAAAAGTATTGATCACACGATATGACTGTTATGGATATGGAGTTCACGTGCAATGACATCATATAAAAATATCTAACAATTGATTGGGATATTGGGATATATAGAGTTTCTGGGTTATATTTGAATAGCACCGGTAGTAAAATGATGAAATTATACCAGCTTACGTTTATTAAAATATTTGAGCACAAAATATTTAATATCAAATAGTTTAGTCTCTTGTTAACATTAAAAGTAGTTTGTTTTAGTGAATACAATATTACTTTTATGATGATAATGTCAATAATAATGCTGATGGTGTATATAAATGTTATTAAATTTAACATAACTTGTTGAAAAACAGTTATAGTATGCAAATTATGAACGATTGAATAATGAAACATTTTCAATTTTTATTCATTACTTTAATATAATTATATTGTAAAGTAATTTTAATTATAATATGGACCTGTTTGGTAAATTAATGTTCAGAAATTATGAATATAATAAAACAATATCTATAATATTTTATTAACAAATAACCCAGCACTAGTAACTTTGATAAATAAAGAGAAATAATGTAAATAACATTACTATTTATGAAAAATAAAACAATAATATTGAATAACACATTGATTTTGTGATTAAACGTATAAATAAATATTTGTGCACCTTGTTTATCTCACTTCAACTATCAATTTTATATTGCAATATTTATATTATAATTATGAAAATTATATTTGCCAATGATTTATAGTACACCGTATATTACAACCCAATTCAAAACAATACACAATACAGTAAATGATTATTTATGAAAAAATAGGGAACAATACTTTCAAAGGAAAAATTAATCTGTTTTATATTTCAAGTGTATTGTTTTTCCGATATAAATAGGCCATGTATAATAACCACCAATCTACATGTAATGGTACATTTATTTAGAATAAGCAAGATATGTTATTCGATTACATATTTCTGGATGAGTCAACAATTTCGCAAGCAATTCACCAAATATATAAAAAGCTATTGGAAATAATTTACTAATTAAGTAATTCTGTAAAATAATTACAATGAATTACAAAATAATCAAGGTTGGTGCCATTGTTTGTTCCAATTTTATAATAAACAATACATAACTTAAAGTTAAATGAATTTACTTTTAACAGTTACAGTTTGATGTTAATGGCAAAATAAACTGTGTTTTAGAATTCTGGATAAATTATTTAAAATTAAAAATAAATTTGGTATTTTAAATGACATGAATTCATTATAAACATTTAATATATTTTTGGATAAAGTTATTCTAAAAAGTTAATAAAAATAAGACAATATTATGCGTGCCAATGTTTAACATTTATAGTCCACTTATAGTAATATGATTTAAGATTTTATAATTACAGTTTACGTCAAACATATAATAAAAATTTGTATTTTTACATTATTTTTTGAAATTATATATTTATTTATTTATAAATATTATAATCTTTTAATAACAATATTCACCAAAACAAATATAATAGTAAAAATATTTTGCCTAAAATAATTAACTAAAAATTTAATATTCTTTTTTATAAATTTTATTTTTATTAAATATTATGTTTTTTATAAACATATTATAAAATATATAAAATTTATTTAAAATATAAAACCTTTTTATTAATATTTTTAAATAATAAATAAGGTTATTATATTCAGAAATGATTGTACTGTATTTTATTCAATTAAATTTATTTACTTTTGAATGAATCAAAAATTCTGCAAGCAATTCACCCAGTATATAAAAATATATCGGGAATAATCTGCTAATTTTGTCATTTTGTAAACTGATTAGGATGAATTAAAAATAATCAAAGTTAAAATAATATTTCTTCCAATTTTATAACAAATAATATATTTCTTAAAGTTACGTTTATTTACAGTTAATAACAGTTTGATGTTTTGAATTTAATCATAAAATAAACTGTTCAGAGTTTAGGTTTTCAATATTTATTCGTAATTTCAGTGAAAATGACTTTAAAACTAAAATCAAGATATTTGCCGAACGTTTCGGTCAACACTGTGCCCATCATTAGGGCTTAAGATGTTAATAGATATGAGAATAAGTTTTACAAATGAATTACATTTGAAAACTAAAGTCTACGCCAATGATAGTTTTTTTGTATTTGTTATGAATTAAACTTATACTTTTATTATATTAAACGATTGAACATAATATTTTGTAATAAATATTAAAATGGTAAAACATTGTAAATTTAATGAAATACAGAATGGTATGAAATGAATGTTTAGTGTTTAGTGTTTAGTGGGTACAACAGCCACAATATCCGCCGACAATACAGCACTGGGGGTACCCATCATCGCAACAGTAGATCATAGCACAGGGACTGTCGCACACCCAACAGTTATTGGCAGAGTTCAGGGCAAAAGCCGATGAATTCTTTCCTAAGTTTAAATCAATTATAAATAAAACATATTTTACTTATAGTTAGTTATAAGACATACCCTGTTTAAAGTCCTCAGCAAACGTTCCTTTAAATTGTTGACTGACTCGGGGTATAGTCTTCGCATATTTCTGGTTTACATTCTTGAAGTCACCTAATATTTACATAAATCAATATAATTTGAATTTTTAAAATTATTTAAATATAATTAATACAAACCAATGGTGAAGACAACGAAAAGTACAGTCAATACAGCAATCATTGAACGCATGTTTAAATTGAACTTAAGTTACTTGTAACTTGTTAACTTGCAAAATTATTAAAGTTGCTATGTTTTTGTTTGTTATATTTTGTATGTTTTTCGTGGCTTATATACTCATAATTTTATTGTTATTTATGACCAAAATTTGTTTATTACAATGTTATCAGAAGTTTATAATTTTCTTTTTTCTAGAAATTGTAATTTATTAACGTATTTAAAATTACAACAAAATAATAGCAATTCTCTTATCAGTTAATAAGAAAAATATGAATTGTCTGCTCACTTATGTAACTCTTATCAGTTTAGATAACTCTACAGGTATTCAGAACCATATTATAATTATGTTACTATTGCTATAAAAGTATTATTTGTTTTTAAATTATATCAGATTTTAATCAATGTTTATTATTTGTTTTTCAAAATAACTCATTTTAATCGGAATAAGTTTGATGTCATTCGGGAATTAATTAACAGTAAATAAGATTGTATTTTATTTGTTTAAAATTTCCATTTATTTCGAAATAATTAAATATATTGCATGAAAATCAATTACCGTAAGCAATATTGGAAGAATTTATTATTACATTCTTAATATATTAATATTTTAGTAAAACATATACAATCGACTCTTGTAATTAAACTAAGATTTTGATTATAATTATAATAAATGATATTGTTGTATTTGTTATGAACTAAACTTTCCTTTTAAAAATTAAGCTGTGTTTTAACATTCTATATAAATTATATAGAATTAAAAATAAAAGTAAAATCGATATTATAATTCGACATAGATTTATTAATTGTATAAGTTTTTTGAAATTTAACTTATTAATATTTAAAAACCCTGTTCACTCAACTGCAGCTGATTTTAGTGGAGGCATTTAAAAATATTTTTGAATAAAGTTAATCTTTTTTAATAAGAAATAACACTTTCTCGTGAATTACATTATTTAATATTTATGATCAACTTGTGTACAATGTAATATTATACAATTATGGAAAATATTTTGATGAGTTAAAAATTAATCAAGGTTGGATCCAAATGTCGGTTCCAATTTTATAATGAACAACAAGTTGCAACAACAAGCTAAATGCATTTAGTTTTAATAATTACAGTTAGATGTTGTTGATAAAATAAATTGTATTTTAGTATAAATTATTTTGAATATTATAAAAGATTTTATTCGATAAAATTAGAATAATAATAGTTATAGATTTGTGGTATTTACAATAAATTATTTGATGT